ACTTTTGTGCTGTATGCAATTTTAGTAAGATATACACTTGTTTTATAAATCAACTCTGTATTAATCCCCCCTTTTAAACAATATAATGAAAGGGCATTCCAAGTATAATTTCTGCAAGTGTGCTCTCTTTGGGGCCACAAATTTCTATACTGTTGCAGAATCAAGTATGTCCATAGCTATATTACAGAGTGAAAACAAATACACATGCTGCCTGTGTTCTGTTCTGTGCTTAGGATGTGTACATGGCAGCTTAGATATATTATGGCCCAAGTCTCGTTATGTTGGCATGATAACAGTTTTATGTATATAAAAACTTTTCAAAATAGTATCCCATACTTTCATGCTCACAAATAATCATCAATTAGCAGAACTGTTCTCAATTTAGTGTTCAAAAGCTACTCAGTGAAATTGAAACTTTTAAACATTCTTTAGATTTGTTCTCTCTGTGAATAAGATCCTGGGAAGTCACAAATTTACCCAGGGGTTCTAAATGAAACCTTGAAAAGTACTTCCAAGCAGCTTCCTTTGCATATTATTTTATGTAATACTCATAAGTGATGTGACTGATTTGTTCTTTTCTTTGAATCATGAAGAAAAATGTTCTGGGTGTCATCAAAATCTAGTAAGTAGAAAAATACTCAGTCCTCATAACTCTGACAAGTATCACTTATTTTCAGATTAGTACTTAGGAGTGTCTATATTATACATTAGGATCAGCATCAGGGAGAACATTCAGGTGTTTTATTCTCTTGGAGGTTGGGTGACCTCACAATATTATACATTCTATACATCTAAGTAAACAACTGTAAAATGGGCCCAGTATAACATTTAGAAAAGGGACCGAGAAAGGGTAATATTAGGTTGCAAGGAAGGACACAATGCAGGCCAAAGACACCTGAGACATGAAGGAGGGTATGAAGCTAAATGTTTTTCTAGTTTCAACTCTGTCATTTTTTTTCTTTCTTTGTGACAGATAAGCTCATAAAAATGTAACTGTCAGTGAAAATGTAAAACCCTAAGGAAAGCTCCATGGCTTCAGAATGGCCACTCCTGCTGTACTGAAGTTCACGGAAATGAAGAGAGGTTCATAGAGACTGTGGCAGCAGGCAGAGGACCCACAGGGTTCGAGCTAGAAGGGGTCCCAGCATTGAGAGGGGAATCAGACAAGGGGTCCCACCACCAACCAAGAAGTTACCTGCAATTGATGCCTGCTGGCAAAAGGAAAATCCGTTTTCTCCAGTGGAGTCTCACTGGGTGTATCAACCACGGTCCAGGCAGGCCCAGGAGTAGTTGGCCAGCCCAAAATGAACTCAGTGGTATTTTTTGCGGACTCCCACCTCCAATTTTGTTGCTATTTTTTGTCTTATTGGTCTCTTGCCTATTTGTTTCAATTTTCTTTTTTGTTTCTTTTTTTTTTTTTGGTTGTGAGCCTAGCCTTTAACGGCTGAGCCATCTCTCCAGCCCTCTTATTTTTTTTTAAGGAGGGAGAGAAGGGAGGGGTGGGGAAAGGAGTGAGGGAGAGAATGTGAGGAAAGAGAATATAAAGCTGAGTGGTAGGGAGGTGGAGAGGATCTGGGAGGAGTTGGGGTAGGGGAAAACATGATCAAAATATGTTGTGTGGAAAAAAATTTCTTAATTGAAAAAGAAATATAAAAAAATGCGGAGTTGGGACTAGCCAAGTATTTGTTTGAGTGGGTGCCTTAATCTAGCTGCATGCTGTCTTCATTTGGGAGTTCATTACAATAAAGTGGTTTTTATTAAAGAAAATACCCATGATTGAAAAATGTTTTCCTAAAAATATAAGAACACTTAAAATAATCTATACATGAGTATATGCATAATTTAAAAGGTAACAGAGTATATCAAGTCTTTATAATATATTTTATTTTTACTATACATATGTATTTACATATATATTACAGCATATATATATATACACTATCCAGTGTATATGTTGACATTAAATATCTTTCTACATATTTTAAAACTTAAAGCTGCTTCTTTTAAGGCCATACTTTCACTTGCTTAAAAAATAAACTACCTTTAATAAAAATTCAGGAGGGAGAATAGTAGGGGAGCACCTGATAGGTGTTTACAATTTTTATTAATTCTTTGAGACTATCATGCAATGTATTTTGATCATATTTACTCCCTCCCAACCCTTCCAAGATTCACCCCTTACCTTACCTACCCACTCAACTTTGTGTCCTTCCACCCTTTTTTAAATGATTAATTAATCGTTAATTAAGGAGGCTAATTTGTGGTGCCCATACGCTCTTAGGTATGTGGCCATCCTCTGGAGCATGGTCAACCCACCAAGGGCCATACCCTTAAAGAGAGCTGACTCTCCCTCTTCCAGCAGCCATCATTTGCCAATAGCTCCCTAGCTAGAGAAGGGGTTCCTAGCCACCTCCCCACTCCATGGTGGGACTTTATGTAGCTCGAGATTTGCATAGGTCTTGGACAGTGTGCTCTCACAGCCACTATGATTCCATATGTGTAACTATCCTATTTTTATTTCTATTTTAGAGATGTCAGCAATAAGGTCATAAAAGATCATTATCTTATCTCCAGTTTCACGGCTGATAGGCAACAAATCAGGGCCAGACTTAACAATAAGATTTCATGTCAAGAATTTCCAGGTCTGTCCCACCACATCCTTTTACTTCCCATTCAGATTTGGCTAATGCTACAACACAGGCTATCAAACTCTTCTCATTACACACATGACTTTTTTCCCCTCACATCTGCAGGAAACAGAGCTCCTCCCTACACTGGAAGATACTGCTTTTAACTGCCAGGAACAGTGGTGTTTTATGGTGGGATAAACTAGTCCCAGGGAGAAATCACCATGCAGAGTCTGAGATGCAAAGGATGTAGGTCCCAGGGAATGCCCAATGTACTTTGCAGCTACCTACTGAGAGGGCCATTGAGTTTATGGTGTCTTATTTTGATATCAGCCATAGAATCATCAAGATTTAATAGAAAACAGTTCTTGTTTTGAGACCACTGCAAAGGTTGGACCCTACTCAGATAAGAAGGAAGTTCAACCATGGTTAAATATCTTAATTTCTTTAATCAGAAAAATGCATGATGGAATATGACTACTCTGGACCAATGGATCTCATAAATAGGAACCATTGGATTAAAGAGGATGAAGAGGCAATCATGTGACCTCTACTCCCTGAAGATTGACAGTGCTTCAAGTATGGAATCATCTGCTTCAACAAGTGTCCAGTGACTCGATTCATGTCAATAGATATTTTCCAGGTAAAGCATGGTCCCACTCTTCGGACTGTCAAGAATCATTCAAACTGCTGTTTGGTTGAAATGTTTTTGTAATGGTCATTTAAAATAAAGTGTTACATTTTGGGAAAGTGCTCCCAGGCTGATGGACATGAAGTCTAGCTATGAAAGTGAGAAACTAAGAAGGCTTAATGTGTCAACTTTATGTGGAATATCATGAAATCATGTCTTCCTCATCTAGAGAAGAGCTTGACTTCCTTAGCACACATCAGAGTCACTGAATATTTTCCAAATGCTTAACTGTAGGATATATATAAAACAAGTTTAGTTAATTATGTAATTATTGAAGGGACTCACTAAGATATGTTTGGTAAATTAGATTCATAACTTACCATGGCTATTTTATTTTTAAAACTTTTTATTTTAAAATACTGCCAATACTACCTAACGAGAAGCTACTTATATAAAGCAGGCATCATAACAGGTAAAAATTATTATATTTTTTATTAGAATGGGCATCCTCTTTAGCATAGTGGGTAAAAATACCTTTTGATTCGGGGATTGGGTGATGAGAATGCAATGTGGTCTGTTAAGTAATTTTAATATACCTTTTTACATAATTTATTTTATGAGCCAATTAAGTCTCTTACATTTGTTGACATGCCAAATCCCCATACTTCATATGTGTAGTATAATAAACTTAGGCATTAGATAAGTATTACCATGCTTATGGTTGGATAAATACTTCTATACTTATTAGAAATTATAACCTTTTAAAGAACTCTTAGAACTTTCCCCAAAGATGCTTGGCTTCCTCCTGGCATGTTTAGAATGCTCTTCTAAACCAGTTTTCAGGAGGACAGAGATAATGAGCTATATGAAAATGGGTGTTTGCCTTTCACAAGGAACATCTGCAGCCAACACTAGACTTTCTGATCTCTTTTCTCCTAATCCCCTGAAGGGAACCGAGAGGCTTGGGCCGGGAAAAGGGAGAGCTGCGTACCCAATTCAATAACGACACAAACATTTCTATTTAAATTCATAAAAGGTTTGGAAAATCATAATTAATGCAAAAGCCAGTTCACAGACAATTTTCTTGTACTTTAAAAACAGGAAGGAAATTCTTATTTTACTAAAAACTTTATACTTCAGATCTCTACATTAGGGCTTGTTCCCTCATCTGTAAAGTTCTATCTTCATAAACTAATTTCTACTATCAAAGTATTGGTAATATTTTTCTGTAAGAGAATGCTTTTAAAGAGAATTTCTTTCTTCAAAATTAACCACCAGAAAGTCTCAATAGGCCCTAGGAGGACAAGTCTAAGGTTTTGTATCTGTTCCAGACAGAAAGGCATTGGGAATGGCTGTATAACTTGGTTCTACGATGCATTTAATCATACTCAGAGTGCTATTGGATTTTTAAAAGTTGAGTCTTTTTCATACACCAAAATTGTATGCTATGAAGCAAATTAGATAAAAGATTGGAGGGAAAAAAAAACCGATCAAACCAAGAAAAGTACAGACCCAGTTTCTCTTCTGAATCATTAATGCCGTCTAATATATATAACGTTCACCTTAGCGCTTTTAAAAGTCTGTAGAATATACATTCCTTAACCTGGCTAATTAAACCGTCAAGAAGATCTACGCATTCCTGAGCCGGGTAGGAAGACAGACACAATTCCTCTATACTCCTTATTCATTCACCTTTGAGCTCTTTGCATTTTGAAATGATACCAGAAAGCAGCGCTACTGACCTGACACACAGAGGTAATACCTGTCCTGGACCGAGAACTCGATCTCAATAAACTCGCAGAGATTCTGCGCCAGCGGCTTGAACAGTTTTTTCTCCAAGTCTTCCTTCACCAGCGATGACATCTCGGGTTCCACCTGGCTCGTGTTTGGGATCAAGCTCACTCTATCCTCGCTGCTGCCGCTGCTTGCTGCCGCTTAGATGTCTCCTTTGGGTGTGCAAGCCTCTGGCTTCCCACTCTCTTTACCTTCTCACTCGGAGCAAAAGGCCAGGCTCCCGACACTGGGTGCCTGCTCAGTGGCAGCCCCACCTCAGCAGCCCAAATCCAGTGTTAACCCTCCTCTGGCATCTTCAGCATCCGGCCTGCTGCAAGCTGCTCTCTGGCAGTTCTCCTCTGGCTCGCTGATGGGGGAACATATTGATGAACACTGACAGATGGCCACAGATCTACTTGTGGAGTCTCCGGGTCGGCAGCCTTTCCCCTTTCACAGCAGCACTATGCAGAGAAAGACCACTATTTCAGCTTGAGGCCATTATATAAATCAGCTGTCTGGCGCTATTGATTGGGATCATCTTCCATTAAGAACTTCGCTTTCACTGCCCAGAAAAAAGGCATCCGTGTTTACTCCTAACACTTCCAACAGGTCTCCTCTCTCTTCCCTTTGCCCTCCTGCAATGTACTCAAGCCTTTGCGTCCAAGAGTTTGCACAAATTCCTAGGCCTGAATTATTTTTAAGATGGACATTTAGATGGGCCCACTTTAATTCTATTTATGCCTCCACTCAAATGAAAATATATCAGGCACCTGCTAAGGTGAAGCATTCATTACATTTGTTTCTCAGGAGGATGAATTTCTTCTTCTCAAGGAGCTTATGATCTAATAGAGCAGAGACACCAAATAAGTCTTTGAACCATGAAAGTTAGAACACTGCATAAAAGTGAAGGGAAATCGTGAGAGGACCAGTGTTTACATGAAGCGACAGTCACTGCCCTGTTGCTGTGAAGGGACACCATAACCAAGGGAACTTCAAAAAGAAGGCATTTAATTGGGAGCTTACTGTTTCAGGGGATGAGTTCATGACCATCAATGGTAGAGAGTGTTGCAGCAGGCAGGCATGGTACTGAGAGCTTACATCCTGATCCACAGGTAAGGGAGAGAGAGATAGAGATAGAGATAGAGATAGAGATAGAGATAGAGATAGAGATAGAGATAGAGATAGAGATAGAGATAGAGATAGAGATAGATAGAGATAGATACACAGAGACAGAGACAGATAGAGACAGGCAGAGACAGAGAGATTGGGTCTAATGTGAACTTTTGAACCATCAAAGCCCACCCCAGTGGCACACCTTCTCCAATAAGGCCACACCTCCTAATCCTTCCCGCACAGTTCTATCAACTAAGGATCAAGCATTCAAATATATGAGCCTATGGGGGCCATTCTCATTCAAACCACCTCAGCAGGAGTCTGAGGAAGTGGCCTGTGAGAGGTCTGGAACAAGACTGGCCAGAGAGCACAGAGATGGAGAGGAGCCAACGCCTCCTAAAGCCCTGGGGGAGTATGGCACTGAGTATTTCCTCTTCAAAATTCGCGGGTGCTTAGGGCTGGGTTACAAGCACTGACTGCTCTTCCATGTGACACAGACTCAATGCTCGGCATCTCCCCAGTGGGTTTCATTTCCAGCACCACTTTATTGGCTTGCAACATTTATAACCTTAGTTCCGAGGAGATCTTAAGCCCTCCAGTATCCGCAGGCGCCAGTCACACATGGAGTACCCAGACATACATGCAGGTGAAACACGGAGTAAAGGATAACCAGGCTACAATCCACAGACCCAGAGAGGCTAGGTAACAAGGAGGGCCCAAAGGGCATGGATTTCCCTAGGAAGCAGAAATACAGGAGATTTCCTGGGTGGACTGGGAGGCGAGAAATGGAAACTTTAAGTATTGGGTTGGGGATGGGTGGAGGGGGAGAGTGCTGAGAGAGATGACTGGAAAGGGGGGGGGGCTTCATGGGGCCGGTTAGAAGCCTGATGCAAGGGAAACTCCCATGAGCCTACAAGGATGGCCCCAGCTAAGACTCCTGGCAGCAGTGGATGCATAGCCTGAACTGGCCCACCCCTGTGATCTGATTGGTGACTCCCCTGGTTGTCATCAGAGAGCCCTCATCCAGTGACTGATGGAGGCAGATTCAGAGACCCACGGCCAAACATTGGGCCAAGCTCAGGGAGTCCTGCTGAGGAGAGGGAGGAGGGATTGTAGGAGCCAGCGGGTCAGGGACATCGCAGGAAACCCTACAGAAATGGCTAGCCTGGCTCATGGGAACTCACAGAGTCTGAACTAACAACCAGGGAGCCTGCATGGGACTGACCGAGGCCCTCTGCACATATGTGACAGTTGAGTAGCTTGACCTACTTGTTGGACTCCTGGCAAAGGGAGCAGGAGCTGTCCCAGGTGCTGGCTCTTGGGAACCTGTTCCTCATGCTGGATGGCCTTGCCCAGCCTGAATACAGGGGGAGGTGCTTGGTCTTAAGGCAGCTTGATGTGCCATGCTTTGCTGAAGCCCATGGGAGGCCTGCCCCTTTTTGAGCAAATACAGAGGAGGGGTGGGTTGAGGGAGGACAGGGGGAGGGGGGAGGAAGTGGAAAGAAAGGAGGGAGGGGAGACTGTGATCCAATGTTAACTAACTAACTACCCAAATAGAAAAAAATAGATATCAGGCTTTCCTCCCGAACCTGTCAAAGAAATAGACCCTGGAGCACAGAAAGCTGCCAGGACGGGCTCAGGTCAGGCTCTTACACACACCACCCCACAAACTCCCAAGACTCTTTTCTCTTCTAAAAATGGGGAATCTTTAAGGCTTACTGTCTGTCCCAGTTTCCTTGGACCGGACTTGAATGAATAACAACAACAACAACAACAATGATAATAATAAGGTGTCTCTGTAACAGAGAACAGAGACATGAAGGCAGCCTGGCGTCTGGGTCCTCTAGCCCCAAGAAAGGACTAGTTTGCCTGTCTCGGAGCTGACTTTACCTGCCTGCCTCACAAGGCTTTCTTTCAACTGCTATAGGTACCAGGGAGGGTGGGGAGCGATGAGAATTCCTTCTCTTCTTGATTTGGCCAAGCCTCAAATGAGTACACTTTACTCTGCCTATTTTTGTTACTTCATCCCGTTAGAATTCAGGAAAACGGAGGCAGCTGGTTTATGGATCCAAGTGCCCAGAAACACTAGCCCTAGGTGACAAGTGGTTCAGCTCTTGTAGAAGACTAGAGTGTTGGGACCTGTGGTCCGACCAGCATTTAAGCTTTTGTATAGACTTACGAAGCTGGGATTCCTCATCTGGTGTTATCACTTCTGGGACTAGGTGTGGGCAGCCTGCTGTCCCCAATGCCAGCTGCTCTTTGTCCCCTCTTCACGTGTGTGTGTGTGTGTGTGTGTGTGTGTGTGTGTGTGTGTGAAGATGACCAGAGAGGCCAGAAAAAAGGTGTAAGATTCCCTTGAGTTGGAATTACAGGTAGTTGTGAACTGTCATAGGGATGCTGGGAACAGAACTCAGGTCCTCTGGAACAGCAGCCAGTGTTCTTAACCACTGAGCCATCTCTCCAGCCCTGAGAGAGGCCTTTCATTGGAGGGTTGTAAAGTGGAAAACAGCCCAGGAAAGGTCTTTTCCAGCCAGCTCACCAAGCGAGTCAGTCTGCTTAGACAGCCAGAGAGGGGCTGTATAAATGGCCACGACAATCTTCCTTTAGAAGAAGGTTCGAATTTCCACTAATTATGACATTATCCCCTTTGCAGCAGACTCAACTGTCCCCACTAGGCCACCAGGAGAGGTGTTTTCTGCCTCACCCCACCTGGATGGGAATGTTTGCAAGGAAAGTATGCAAGCTGTTTAAAACAGTCCCAGCTGGGCCAGCACCCTCAGGAACCCAAACAAGCAGTCGCCCTTGTTTGTGGCTCCCCACTGCACCAGTTCTCACCGCAGCCTTCTTTTTAGGGGTCCTTTCTTGTTGAGACTTCACAGTTTCTCTTGAGTTCATGCACATGCCCGTGGTTTGGGGCTGGCAAGGGTCAGCTTGGTAAGCACCGAGTGTGTGCATGCAGTACTAGTGATCTTAAAGAAAGCTTTAATTTTCTTTGACTAGCGACCCCAATTGGAACCAGCTCTTCTGATGTTTCTCTAGCATTCTTTCCTTTCCTGCAGGAGAACTCCCCTGGCCTGTGAGAAGCCACTGGGCTTATAGAGGTGGAGCTGCTTGCCCTGCATTGGGCTTGACCATAGCAACAAACAAACTTGTGAACCAGGCCTGGATTTGGCTCATTGACATCGTCCTTTACTCAGTGTGAGTGGTTCAGGACTGTACATGTGACTCACGGGGGATTGTACCTAATTTATTGGCTCCTAGTCCCAAACCTGCTCTTTTTCACTTTGCTTTACAATCTGGAGGCTGAGCCCTAGAAATAGTTTGGCTTTGCCCACTAGCAGAATGGTAAGCCATGTCTGTATTTATAGATTTATTCTGTATTTATAGATATACCCATTTATTCACATATAGTTATACACATAATATATATAATTATTTAAAATGAAATATTTAAAAAATATTTTTAAAGAGGGCATGAATTTGAGGGGCAGCTTGGGAGGACTTGGAGTGAGTGGCCCTTCCAAGGCAACAGCATCCAAAGATACTGCCCTTCTGGTTCTGGACCTCTGTTGCTGTGGTAATGAGAGCCTTGCGATTCTACAGTGGGAGCTCTCTTTGCATCCTCTGCCTGGCTCTCGGGTCAGGAAGATGCAGTAAGCTAACATCTGAAAAGCTCTTCGAACTGTGCCTGTCAAATAGCTCTGTATGAAGACAGCTATCACTGTGAGTTGATTGGTGGCTCTCACATCGGATCACTTCCACTCATCCGTGGCCTTACCCATAGACTTCGCTCGGCCAGACTCTGTGGCAAGGGTGGCTGCTTCTACAGAGCAGGTGCAGCCCGTCCAGTCCACTCTCTCCCAGGTTGACAAGATGCTTCTATAGGAAGACCTGTCTCTGTGCCTTGTGGCAAATTTCCTCAGCAACAGCGGCTTCTGCTTCCTATGTAGCTATGCCCTTTTGAAGGGCTCTCCAGCTTATCAGTATTCAACCATGGCCTTTTTTTTTTCTTTCATACCTTAGGTTCTTTAAATTTTTATTGTTAGTGTTATCATTGTTGTTGTTATTAAATTAGCTTGTCAAGTAGTAGTTTTTTTTACTTGGGGTTTTCATTCCGCTTTCATTCTGGTTGATTTTCTATCTCCTACCCTATCCTGCTTCTCATCTCCCTGCCTCCCTTCCTGGTTGTACCTTTCACACCAAGTATTACCTTCCACTTGGCTCTCTTGCCTTCCTGCCCTGCTTCTCTTTACTCCCCCCAGTCTCATGGCCCTTTTGTAGTGTCCTGGTCTTCACTTATATTTATTCCCACGTAGACACGCACAGCTCACAGTTAGAGGCTAGGATCCGAACGTGAGAGAGAACATGCACTTTTTGTCTCCTGCTGCTATAACACCTGAAGCTTGGAGCTAGGCGCTGCC